TGTTTATTCCTCGTCTAATTTTTGAAGCACTTGATGAATTACACTTATATTAATCGATTTATTAAGAGATTACGAATAAAATGATATATAAAACATAGGTGTGCTAACAAATTTAAAAATTAAAATTTTTATTTCTAAAGTGTACCTATTTTTTAGATTTGCCCATATATATCCATAGGGTTCTCGGAAACGGCTCTAACGATTTTGATGAAATTTTGTATACAGATAATGTTTTGGAGTTTAAGGTTATCTGAATAGGCAATATCTCCGAGAAGACTCGTAGAAGGTTGCCACCTATTCCAAATTAGTTACAAATTAATTAAAACATCATAATATGGGTATCAAATGGAAGGTATTTTAAATATCCCTAATTCAAAAATATTTTTAATAAGGTTGCCACCTATTTTGAATCGCATATTTATTTAATTTTTTGTTTAGAAAAAAAGGTAAAATATTACCATTCATGGATACCAAGAGAAGGTTCTTAAACAATGCATTCCCTATACACAAAATGTTATGCCTTAGGATAATAGTGTAAGGTTGCCACTTATTTTCGACTCTACACAATTTATCTAAAACATCGCAGTATGGATATTAAATGAAAGGTATTGTTGAGAACTTTGGTCAGAAAATATTTTCTATCAGGGTTGCCATGCTTTCTTGTAACACAAATTTTTATTTTGTTTATCTCAATCAACATTTTTATGTATACATACATAGTACACATACGCTCAAGATATGTACCATTCATTCCAGCGTATTTCGGAATAGGGTTGCCTCCTAAATTTTAGAGTAAGGAATTTATTTAATAGATATGGGAATCCAATTTTTTTTGTTTATTTCCAAAAATTTTTTGCTTAGGGTCGAGCGAAGAAATTTGTTGAAAATCTCTGAAATCGGGCAATAACCACGCCCGCTTCCCATATAACGGTAATTTACTGAACACGAAAATCGCGATGAATCAAAATTGACTCAAAATGGACTATTGCAATAACCACTTAGCAGAAAATAAGATTATTAGAAATTCTTGGATTTTGGGCATGGCGCCGCACACTTATGACCACAAATGTGTATATCGATAACCGATTCATCAATTTCTACCACCCTCTTCAGGTATAACGGTAAATTTCGGATACAAGAAAACTCCGATATTTCAACAACAGAGGAGGCTCATTTACTCCAAATTAATAAATACAACAATCTTTTGACAATAAATAAGACTATTATAAACTTTTAGGTAGTTTAGAGAAAGTTGAAACTGTGATATTTGTAACTTGCGCCGGGTATACAAAATTAGGTTTCGTTTTACTTTTGCTCTAAAAAATAGTTTCAAAATTATTTTGCTTTAATAATAATAATAGATTGGCGCTTACACATAGGTTAGTGTTTGGCCGAGCTTCTCCTCCGACTTGTGGCGTGCGCCTTGATGTTTTTGATTGTATTTTTATTAGATGCTGCTTTTCATGGCAGAAATACACTCGGAGGTTTGCCATTGCCTGCCGAGGGACGACCGCTGTTAAGAAAAAACCTTTTTTATATATTTTATTGCGATGTCGCTTTGACCAGAGCTCGAACCCAGGAGCTACGGAGTGGAAGCGCGCACTGCTTACCACTACACCACAGCGGCTCTTTTCTCTTTTATAAATAAAAGCTATATTTAATGTTAATAGTTTTATTGCAATTTTTAGTGGTGACTTCATACCAACATAAGCATTTTCACTGCATGAAAACTATGTAAAATAAAACAGGTTTATCCAGTTTTTTCTTAATTTCAAAATCGAGAACCGGTTTTTTCAAATCGCAACTTTTCGAAAGCCTGTTTTAGAAAACAGGCGAATATTCGAACACCCGAGTACATATACAATATTTCATTGTAATCTAAGAATGGGAGGAATTTCCAAAGTCCCTTATCTCTATAACCCAACTTTCTTTAACAAAAAGTAATGAACGATAGTCAGATTCTTTACTTATTTATATTATTCATTAAATTATATTTAAAGTTTTTTCTTTCTTCTAATCGAATGTGTTATGATAATCCACATATAAACGTTAAAAAAGTTTAACTCAATTATTTTTTGCTTTTTTAATCAGTTACGTAAAGTATTTTCGTTTTCCGAAAGCAGTTACTTATGTATTTTCAAATATGTATTTAGTAGTCTTTAGAATAAATTTCTGAGATTGAACCTTTGTATTTATGTACTACATACATACATATAGAAATATGTATGTACATACATTCATATATATAAACATAGAACAGCATTAGCTACGAGCAAACACCTTGAACAAATTTTCTAAATGCGTAAGAACTTTTCGCAAATACTCGCCCGCCTACAGATAAACCCATTTCCGTATGATTCTCATTTAACTTCATGATGCCTACGTATGTACATATGTACATACATACGTGGTGGGTGATGAGCTAAATTTGCTATTTAGCATCTCGCATTTCATTAGCACATCATTTCACCAACAATTTATGGCCTCAACAAATTAATATTTGCTTTGTACTGTAAACAAACACACAAACGCGCAAACAAATGAATACATACATATGCATCTGTACAATTACTTTAATATTTCTTCCAGAATAAATGAAACGGTAAGGTGTGTTAAAATTATTGCATACACTCGTACATACACATGTTTGTGCAAAATATACATACATATAACAGAGAAGAAAAAAACCAAATACGGAACAGTCAAAAATAACAGCCAATCACAAAATGTGCGAGTACAGGTAGTCATAAATGAGCAGCTCACAAAACAAGTATGCAACTTAAGTTTTCTAATTAATGGAAAAAAATGTATACCATTTAAGGTATAAAGTACTTTGAAAAAGAAATGTCTAACAAACCGCCTTATTTGTTGGAACAATTACAAACCAACACTCAAACTATTTATTGCCAATTTTCATTTCTTAAAAAAAAAATAAAATCGAAGCAAATCGTTTGAGTGTCAAAAAGCTCAGCTCACATCGCTGGTGGCTCTAACCTCGTACATATGTAATAATTACAAAGCCGGGAAGGCAAAAACATTATTCTGCCGTCTTATCCTCTTTAAGGCAGAAATTGAAAATGTAACCTGTAACCTCGATGATCCTTGGTCATTGCTGAGCGAAATAACCTTCCAGTTTCTGACGGTGGCTCCAATAGTTTTAGCCAAATGTTTTATTATCGATACCTTTCGTGTAACCTGACCAGACTAAAACAAGTTCGAAAGGTTTGACAACCTAATATAGTTGAAAAGTGTTGAGTTGGGTAGGCATATCACATTTAGATATCTGTCGCCAGCAGCTGCAGCTGTTGTGAGGAAAGCTCAAGGACAGTACCCTACTGAATGGTAGCAGTACTGAAAGCTGTGGAGAAGACGAACTCGAGCCCCCAAACGATGAAAACGGAGTCGATAACCCACCGCCTGACTATGACGTGGTACGAATAGCAAAGGCGCGCTTGAAAACAACAAAGCTGGTGGAGCGTACAAACTGTCAGCTGAGCTATTCAAGTACGGAGGCGAAGAGATGATAAGGTGCATGCATTAACTCTCATGCAGAATATGGTCACATGAATGCATGTCCGACGACTGGAATTGAATTGTGATCTGCCCAATCCACAAGAAAGGCGCCAACTACTGCGGGATCAGCCTTCTAAGCATAGGTTACAAGGTCTTATCGAGTGTATTGTGTGAAAGACTGAAGCCCACCGTCAACGAACTGATTGGGCCTTATCAGTGTGGCTTTACCACCATAGCAAATCCACCATAGACCAGGTATTCACAATATGTCAAATCTTGGTAAAGACCCGCGAGAAAAGGATCGACACTCACCACCTATTTGTCGACTTCAAAGCCGCTTTCGATAGGAGTTGTCTTTCGCCGCGTTGTCTGAATTGGGCATCCCCGCGAAACTGATATGGCTGTGTATAATGACGTTGAGCAATACCACCAGCTCCGTTAGAATTGGGAAAAACCTTTCCGAGCCGTTTGCTACCAAACGGGGTTTCCGACAGGGCGACTCCATTTTATGCGATTTCATTAATCTGATGCTGGAAAAGATAATAATAGCTGCATAACTGAACCGCTCAGGCACAATTCTTTACAAAATCGTACGGTAGCGTTAATCACGAAGTCTGTTCTGCCTTTTCCAAGCTGGATAAGGAAGCAAAGCCATTGGATCTGGTGGAAGAAGAGGAAGAATGATAAAAGCGACGTCAAAAACCCTTCATAATTTTGAAAAGTAAGCAAGTATACAAGACGGCGCATTTCATAAAAATAAGGTAGGTACAAACCGACTCTGATACCATAATTCGACTTTTACGGGTACCAGACTACAGTGACGAGCTGACAAGGAAGAGCACCCCGTTGAGGTGGTCTTACTAAGCAAAATAGGATGGGGATACCTTTGACTGTCTGCGGTCTGCTATTAGAGAATTCGGCCTTATAACAGCTTGGTGAGCTCTAGCCGAAAACCATTACAGCTCTTTCGAGACCAGGGTAGGCCGTAAGCGGTGGAGTGAGTTTCCTAAGCCGCCAAAGGCTGCTACTCCCACTCTTTGTAGAGGTTTTGCTAGGGCATTGACCAATTTAGAATGCACGCGGTGAGTCTCAAGGAGCACATCTTGATCTAATCTGGCGCCGCTCTTTCGAAGATGACGAGTTGAAATCGCTTCACTTCAATTTCTTTTAAATCGCTCAGTTTTTGAGAAACTGAAGTTTGCGTAACTTGACTTGCACTTTCTCAACAGCGCTTAAGACATCATGAACTGACACGAAACTACTGAGAACTTGTTATTTTATGAAACTGTCGAGAATTGCAACAGTTAAATCGGATAACGAAAAATCTTTGCCAAAATTAAACTATCGCTAATGGAAAACAAGAATTTTGTAGTCAAATGGAATATTTTCGTATGACTCAACCCGCTCAAGGCTACTTAACTACATAAATTTAGTACCTACAAGCGTAACATCTACAATCAAATTTAATTTTACTTAACACCACTTACCAGGATCGGACACTTTGTCATCAGCAGTGAAGTTTGGATTATCACTTCCACCCTCTTCGCCATTTTTCCATTTATCACGACTATCAATTAGAAACTGTTGTATCGTCACGGGTCCTTCGTAGAAATGCTTGTCGCCAAAGGTAACATCTGTAGAATTTGAGAGTGCTATGCTACCAATTTGGGCCGAATTGGGCGCCATAGGTGGCCCCAGCATCGGTGGTGAGAGTGCACCACCATTGAGTATCGTCTCAGATAGCGGACCAGACGTGGGGGGTATTGCACCTGGGCTTATTGTCTGACTTAGCACTTGCATACCCTTATTTATATGCGGCAAATTGGGATGATTTGGCTCGTAGGTCGTTTGTTGGCCCAGCTTCTTGACAACATAGCTACTATTTTGACCCTCAAAGTCCGAATCTGAGTCGACGACACTCGAGTCAATGGCATTTTCATCGATCGAAATAATCGATATTGTATTGCTACGTATCGACACTGCTGGGGAGCAATTCTTCGAAGATTTTCTACTGCTACCGCTTGACGAGTTTCGTTGGCGTCGCACATTTATGATATTTTCAATGTTTATGCAATTGTTATCAATTTTTTTGTTTATTGTAATATTGTTGTTTGATTTCGGAGTTTCTGCGCTGCTGCGTCTTCGCTTATCATCGACGCTGTTGTCGATATTGTTGCTGTTATCTTTCGCTGTATTGCCACTTGTGCCATTGATGTCTACACCGTTGGTGTTGGTGTTGAAGCTTACATTGCCTTGTATGTTTTTGTAGTTGTTGCTGTCGTTGCTGCATGTTCTTTTGTTGTCGGTGATAATTACACCAGAGTCGGTTGATGAGGCGCAACTGTCAGCTGACGATGTTGACAATTTTATTGTTTCTGAGTCCCTTGCTGATGTGGCATTAAGAACAGTTGGATGTGCGGCTATCGGTTTTGCTTTCCATTCTGCACTTGCAATCGTATTTGAGTTCATTTCATTATTATTCGTAAAATGCATTTTTTGGTGTGAGTCAGTCAGTATGCAGTACTTGATTTTATATTGTTGAGATACTCAGGCAACAACTTTCTATATTTTTTTAATATCACAAAGTACTTATTCTAAACGATTCTGAAGTATTGCATGTGAACCACATATTTTTTAAATGCCGACATTTTTCAATTGTGTTTTAACTTGCTGGCTCTGTAAGGTATAACGAGAAAAATAGTTGAGTATAGT